AGCTCTTCATCCTTCTTGAACTGGGGAGCCCAGAACTGGACACAGTACTCCAGATGAGGCCTCACCAGGGCAGTGTAGAGGGGAAGGAGAACCTCCCTTGTCCTGCTGGCCACACTCTTCTTGATGCACCCCAGGATCCCATTGCCTTCAACACATGCCTTCAACACAGACACAGAGTTCTGCAGCTCCTGTACTGCCTTTCCTCATGCCCTGCAGCCAAGGCTCAGGGCACATTACCAGGAATCAGAGCTCTAGCAGGTGAGGTGCTTCAGAAAGAGAGTAGATGGCGGGTTGCAGGCTTAGCACAGAGGGAAAGCATGTCAGACTCTAACTTGTGTATTTCTTAAGAAGTTTGTCCACACCCAAGTCCTCTGTGACAGTGTCCCAATGAGGCAGAGAGAGTAGCTTGACATTATCAGAATGAGAAAGAGACCCAGGCTGCAAAGCTGGCTAGTGCCATGAACTGCAATGCTTGACAGCTTTCTGGGTGTGTTTTTGCCCCCACTAGTTGCCCCATTTACCCTGGTTCATGCTGTGGTGATCTTTAACTGGTCAGATGTTGATTCTGTCAAGAGTTGAGATTGAACGTCCTGAAAGAAAGAAATCTGAAGTGGCACTCAAGGGATCCTCTAACCTGCTGGCACAAATGGCCTGTGATTCCCTTGAGACATCAGCCTACAGACTGGCATCCCTATCCTAGAAGGTATGGAAGATTTAGTGCCTACAAACAGGCATTTTTCCTGTCTATGACATTTTCCTAATGTGTGTCTATCACTGTCTGTGACTGCCATATTCACAGGTATTGTAGTTAGTTGTTTACTGGGAGGAGGCTCTGTGAGAGCAGATCATTCAGGGTCAAAAGAAAGTTCTTTAACTTGTCTTTCAAATTAACAGGCAATAATTTGAAACTATAGTTATATAGTTATATGGCTAGAGCTCAGAGCTTGAGGCCATGAACAGAAGCTTTGCTTTGAAACATCTGAAAGCAAGGTATAGCAGATATGCTCTGCCATCTGGTTCATCAGCAAGGCAGAGGTGAGACAGTACAGGTATGCCCTGCAGGCGATCCTCAGCCAAAAATGCCCTGAATTCCAAAGGGCTACTGACACTTGATGATGTGAGGTTCCAAATTCTTTACTTCCTTTAATGATCATCACTTCTTTTCCCCTTAGCCCTAACTCTAAGGAATTAATCATGAAAAGTTCTTACAATTTCACATCAGTTTTCCCTTGCCTATTTAACCAGCTTAACCTCGACTCCTCTGGCAGTTCATCACCGTCTCAGTTTCTAGACTGAACATTTCAAGAGGTGAGAGCAAACAAAAGGGCAGGACCAACACAAAGAAGATGGAACCATTCCCTTCCACCACTTCATTTTAGTAACTACTCCCCAAAACTTCCCTCGGAGCTTGAGTGAGGTGTATGAATTCTGCTTGCCTTCTGCAGAAGACAGACCATTCTTCCTGAGGCATCAGGGAAGTGGGGAAGGCATTCAAACAACCAAGGGAAGCAGCAGCTACAGAGTGGGAAAATAGTTGGCAAAATTCAAACATCAGGTTACAATTCAAAGCATGCCAGGTGCTACCCTGTATACTTTTGATAAAGTACTTTATTAATTGCACCTGATGTCATTCAAACTGAATTCTCTTCTTGCACTCCTCTCTCCCTCCTAAACAATTCCTCTCAAATCCCGCTGCCTTTCCCTCAGTTTTTAAATACTACAAGAAAAAAAGACAGGTCTCAGCTGTGACTTTTTGCCTTGTTCCTTCAATAGACTGCTCTTCCACAGGCTGATAGTCACAGGCTATCTATTACCCTTTAGATAACATCTACTTCTGTGAGATCACCAATAGCTGACTGGAAAACAGAAGACAAGGTCAGGCTGAGATTCTTTTTTCTTATTAAATTAGTCTTTTTACTCTTCACAATGTTTTCTTCTACAAGAAAACAAAAATATTTTTCAACAAAAAATTAACCACCAAAACCAGGGACTGGCTGCTGAAAGGATGTCTAAAGCATGCAGAGATCTAGACTAAGAGGTCTGAGCAACCTACCAAATTATTCAGGTAGGTGCACTGATTACCTTTGGCTAAATTATATCACTGAGGAGAACAACATCAGAAAAGAGAGGAGGGGTCAATTTTATGGAATCTGTCAGGCCTGTTGCAGGTAACAGCTCATCCTTGTACCCCAAAATTGTGTTCCTTATCTTTGTCTACTCGGAATAAGTGCTCGTGGATACTAATCTGGCCTCGCATAACTTCTAAATACCAATGAAGGAAACCAAGCCTTGAAAAGAATACATACTTGTGTCAGTCCAAGTCTGGGTCTCAGACTTTGAAGACACTTTGTTGACATACAAAATCTTTTTCAGGAAAATGTTAACACTACACTTCTCTGGAAAGGAATCTTTATTTTGGCTCCTCCAAATGCTGGAGTTCAGCTTGTGGTACTCTACCTCTGATGACTTTCCCCTCATACGAGCTCAGATGATGACATCCCAGAAAAGTAATCCTATGTAACAGCAATTAATGTGCTTGTATTTTCTTCTGGCTTTTTTATTTGTTACATAAGTCAAAATATTCTAACTAAAAGCATTTAACTCACAGGAAAAAGTCACTTTGTGTGCCATAACTTAAAAACCTCTAAACTTATTAAAGAGCAGCAGCTTAGAGCCGTGTTCTGTATTTTTTCAAAATCAATACGAATCCTGTTTTGGTCAAGTTCTGACTGAGAAGCTAGGCAAAGTGTCTGCCATTGCTCAGACTGCAAGTTTTCTGCAATATTTCTGCAAAAGTTATGAGTTTTCAATTTGTTCTGCTTTTCTGCTCTTTCTGCTTATATGTTTTGGGCATATTCCACTAGACTAACTATCGGTAAAGTATAAACATCTACCTTGCTATTAAGCTGCTATGGAAAACATTAAAAAACTTCCAGTACATCCACAGGAATAAATCTGCCTCAGTGTGGACTGGTACAATCTCAACTGCCAAAGGCTGCACGTGAGTGCATGCATAAACACACACACACAGAAACAATACAGGGGTGAGAACAAACTTCAAGAAGAGGCTTGAAAAAAAAAAAAAAAACAAATTATCAATCATTAATTCAAAATACAGACAGCTTTCAATATTAGCACAACTTCTAACAAGATACTTTCCCATGTATTTTATCAGTTGTCACATTTTCCAAATCTTCTCATTCAAACATATACCTAATACCATTAGTTAGTTACAGCATTTTTTAATTCTTTTTAGAAGTGCAGCATATGTAAGTCTTCTGATTTTTTTATACCATACATATCTTATTCTAAGCTTAGAGGTTTCCATAGTTATCATTAAAAAGCACGTAGACAAAATATTTTATGGTATCTATAATAAATGCAAAGAAATCAATACAAACAAAACTTGGCTTAGCAAACTGTACATACATAAATATGTTCTTTGTTTTTCAACTTGACATTCAACATTTTTCCTCATAAAACCTTTTACGATCTTATTTATTACACCCATTTTTTTAAACCTTAAAAAAGTGCTTCTCAGATTTACACCTTGTGCATCCAAAGCAAAAGTTAGAATACCATGCCCGAAACAGAAACCATGGGGAATAATACATTGCCATACAAGATCCTTTAAAATTGTATGTTACAAATACTCTAAAATTTTTTTAGCATTGGTTATTTTGTATACTGTAGATACTGACAGGGTATTTAACAAAGACTGGCTAATGGCTCATTTCGAGCAGCACACAGGAAAGGGTCTACAGTATCAAGTCCTTGGCTATGCATAGCACAGAGCAATGACCTGGATGTAAAGTGGCTAAAAGATCCAGAATGACAGACAGAAGGACATTTCCCTCACACATATCACATCCTCCTTGCTACCCAGGTTGCAAGTATTGAAATGATGCTACTCAGGTAATACGTTGTGCAGTTTGATACCAATATACTGATGCGTTATTAGCTGAGTGCCAGCGGAGAATGGTATGGACGCAGCAGTGGCTACAGCAGGTAGGTGAAGTTGCCACACTGAATTCTGTCACTGTTTAAAACCATCCTGCCTCCCATCTAGCACTCCAGCAAGGTCACCTGCTGTCTCACAGGTCTCCTTCATAATGGAGGTGGACCATTCATATATTTTAGCATGGGGTGGAAAGAGTTGGCAAAGTTGTTGGCCATAGCACAGCTGTAGTCCTCCTCAGTCATTGGCACCAGGCAAGCCAGCCCGATCAGGAGCAGCAAGAGAAGCTGAAGTGGCAGAGCAGCTCTGAGGACTCTGAGGAAGAAGGACGGGCACCGCCACGCCGGCCCAGCCTCAGAAGGGGAGAAACCTGAGCCACCTCTTGTGGACCTGAGAAAAGAGGATGGACAGGTGAATACACTAAAACATCACTGCAGCAGAGGTTGCCCTTGGGCACTCAGCCTTCCCTGAAGGCTGGCTTACAACTTGTACAGACTTAGATTGACACCTGTAGAGGTTTCACTGAACATGCTATTTCCCTGGCACTCTTAAGAGACCCTGTATTTCTAGGCTGGGTAGGAAAATACCAAATGATCACAACAGAATGGGCTTAGTGACCCCACTGCTCCTTTGTCAATTATGGGGAAGACTCTTCACTTAAAGCACTGTGCTCTAGAGAAGGAGAAAATAAAAAGTGGGCCACACCTGTCATGTGTTCAATGCACACAGTCTAAAAAGGAAGCCTCCTCATTTAAAATGGCAGCTGCATTTGGTTTGCAGAAGTTTCTACATTCTTTTCTATATATGGTATCCGCAAGCGTATAATGCATTGAGATTCAGTTACATCAATCTTCGATTAATTAATACACCAATATGCAGGCAGCATGGACTCGTTTTCTACAAAGTACACTGTATTTTGAATCTTGCACTGAATCCGCAGTTAAAATCTATTTGCTGAATTGACTTGACATCGTCACCTTATGAGTGATTTTCTCCCTTGTGTCTATGGATCTGACTTGAAATGGCACATGTCTACCACATGTCTATGAGAGAGATGAGACCTAACGCAAACATTTCCAAAGGGACACTTCAAATTAAGCAGAAAAATCCAGTCTATTTTTTAATGTAGGATGAAGACATAGATTTCATGTTTTCCTTTTTGACTGGAACTATCAGAGCTCTAATGTACTGATGATGTTTTGAGATAAGTGGATGACTGAAAAGAGTGAGTATGCAAGTTAAAATTTGATGGTCTCAGTGTGCTAATTAAATGGCATGGAAAAGTACTGTATTTTAGCACTAGACAAAAATGGAAGAACTTAGAGCCTTCAAATAATTTAGTTCAAGAACTCTTCCATTAAGACATGAGGTCATGAATTTTGTCTTGGACATCTTGCTACAAAATTTCCGTGTGGCTGCTATGATTATGAAGCTCCAGAAAATCTATGATTTGCTAGGGTTTAAGAGATAAAAATGCTGATAAGGATGGAAATACTCTCAACTTGAAGGTGTGGAAGATCAGGCTTGCTGGCTGAGGTCAAATGTTCCCCAGTAAAGCAAGTAGGCGGCAACAGTTCCTTAGTGCCTCCTTGCCTTCCCCTTGTCCTTTTGATCCTGTCTCCCAGATAAATCTGAACCTGTGTGAGAAAGAACGCAAAAACCAAAATATCATCTTCAAAACTATGTCAGGCTTGGCACATGTTCAGAAAAGATTTCTTTCTATGCTTGAGATTGTTTTTATTGTGTTGTTCATATATGTGTATCATCCCACTATGAAGACTTCAAGAAAGCCAGACAGATTTGGTACAGTTAAGGTGACCAACAGATACATAAACACTCAGGTATGTTAAATGATTAACTTGATCTAAGTATTCCAGGAAGAAGCAACGATCAAAACATCAGACTGCATGTTGTTTGATTCCACGTTATTGTAGCCCGGATGGAAAGCTGTTTATCGCATAACGTAAGATCATGTATTATAAAGAACATATTGAAAGGATATGCCACATTCAACAGCATCAGAGCATTCCATATTAAAGTTCAATTAGATCAGGACTTCTACTGTCCGAGAATGCCAAGACAGAAAGTTAATGGACTGAGGTAGGAACAAAGGGAACAAGGAGTGCATAATTACCTTCCAAGCATTTGATTGCACAGTCTACTTATTTAGAAGGCTCTCGTTGTACAAATGTACATTTCTGCAGTTGGTAACTGTTGTTTGATAATCAGCAAAGTCTGAGTTTTCTTCATTGACTCAGAGTTACACTGAGGTAACGCTGGGTGTCAGAAAGCAAATTTCCAAAAAGCAGAATCAAAAGGGAGCAGGCAAAGCTAGCATTTACTTTTTCTTTTCTTTTCCTATAGCTTTAGTAGCACAGTCCAGCACTTTTTTGCTTTGTGTTTTACCAGAAAAAAAAGAGGCAGAGGGGTATGTGTAAGCTGCATGGCTGATCTCGATAAGCAACATAAACTTTCTTTCAAAAATTAAAACAGTTCACGGCAAAGTTTTTCAAGACACTTTTTCTGCAGTGAAATAGGGTGTTAAAGAATAGTTTCCAATACTGCATGGAAACAATTAAACACACAAATAATGAAATATTATGAAAACACCTTCAGAAGGGGAGTTCTAAAAAGTCTGAGTGCTGTACTGCCTGTGTTTATTGCAGGTACGCCTCTGTAATCTGCATAATTGGCTGAAAAATGGAATGGCTCAGCTTAAAGTGTTTAGCAGATTTGGTAAGAAGAGATGGTTAAAAATACACACTGTTAATAAAAAAGACTCACTGTTCATAAGGGCCAGAATTCCTATTTACTCCAGCAGCAGAAGGGAAAGCTGAACTTGAAGAAAAACATAACTTCTTTTTCTTGAGCTTGCATCTTTAGCTGTCTTGACCATTTGTTACACTGGCCCATGTTTGCGGAGGGAAGGAAGGCCATCTGCTACTCTCTCCATACACAATTTCTACTAACTAGATAAAAGGGGGAGGCACAGCTGCAGACCTGGCCAACAGTAAGTTTCTTCACATGAAGAAATCTTGTAAATTACCCTAGGAAATGCAAGAAATAGTTACCCTTATTTTGAGAGTTAGTAATGTCAGTGACGTTGGAACTCTTTCCTAAGCATTTCAAGAAGCTAATTTACCAGGCTGTAGATTGGAGGGGCATTGGCTGAAGTAATCTATCTGTATTGCAGTAAACCTCTGAAAGATTGTAACAGAAGAATTTATAATTCAAGCAAAGCCAATAGGAATAAATAAAGTGAGTTTAATGGAGAAGTGGCTAATGGAATGCAGACAACAGGCTTACACTGAAAGAGGCACTGCTGGGCTAGTAGGATGTTATTACTGGAGTTAATCAAGTCTTGATTTAATATCTTTATGAAAAGGCTATGGCACAAAATATAAGAACAGCAGACTTAATCTGTATGATGACAGAAGTTGGAAGTCTTTGTAAATACAAAGTACAATTGGCTTCTTGCATAGAAAAAAGTGGGTGAATCCAATTGGTTTAAGAAGTAGTTCAAGGAGTTTAAGATTATAGTACATAAGTGTCCTCATTTTAGTTACAATGGTTTCCATTTGTAAGTTTCTCTCCCCTTTCCTCCTTTTTCCCTTCCCTTGATGGGGCGGGTGGGGGTTAACGGAAAGCATCTGCCACTTTATTTATTGGGTCCCTGCTTTAATGGCGACAGTAAGGTAGCAATAAAAACTTCTGCTATAAATTTGGAAGTTCATACTCTGAAGAAAATGAAGAGAATCTAGAGCTGTTTGACACAGGGTAGCCAAAAACCAGTAATGTGGCTTGTGAATAGCTTTGAAAAGGGACAAAAGAAATTTTAAAATATATTTCAGGTCGATTTCCAGAAGAGAAAAGAGATTGTTTTAAAGATGTTCTATAAAGCACTGGTCAGATCTCACCTGGAGCAGTTTGTATCATCTTGGTTAAAAAGTACTTCTGAAAGATGGATTCAAACTTACACTAGTTTAAAGGAGTAAAAAAAAATTTCTAGTATTTCTCCTACAAAGGAAACAGAGAGCTGAGCTTACCTGTATAGAACCTGAGATACTAAAATTACCCTCTATAAAATAGTGCAGAACAGACAGAAAGTAGGGTGAAGAGGTGTTAAAGAAACGTTGGCACAAGCCCAAATTAGTACATCCAGCTTGTACTTCCAGATAATCAGAGAAATTAAATTTTATAACAACATTCTACTAGACTTTTTGTTCCCACTGATTCAAATTTTTTCAGATAGAGGTTGCTAGAGTTATGAAGAAGAGGGTGTGATGCTCTGCCTACAAGCGGAGGCAATGACTCCTCTAAGAGACTCTCTAGGAGTGACCTTGTTTGGCTGCATTCTGACTTTTTCTCCCCAGCTCTCAGCATCACATCACCCCAACCTCAGATTTGGCTTACCCTATAAAGATGACAAGTATGTCCATTTCAAAGGCAGTTACCTATGAAGTTTAAGTAACAAGCTCTAAGGGAGAGTGAGGGAGATAACTGGGAGAAGAACCATGGCAAGTCAAGCCAGAACCTCGTGTTGTAGCGTGGCAATGACTGCCATTTTGTGGCCAAAGGCGCGGAGAATGCTGTAGCCTGGTCTGCTCCACGAACAGCAAGCGACCTTTAAAGATCCACTAGTTATTTGGGGAGGAATGGAGAGAGCAGGAAATGGAGGTTGACACTGTGGTAACAAGACTTGAATAGAGCTGCTCAAGAGAGACAATGTAAACAACCCTGAGCAAACTGAACCACTATTTTAATCTTTTTAACATTTTAATCACTTCAAAAAAATCCACAGGCACAGACTCAGGTGTGCATTTATGACAGTTCTATTAAACCGATGAAGAAAGAGGAGTTGCTTCTCGGATTTGCTCTTCCCACTTAGCACACAATTACTAGTACCTCTTGAATGAGCCTTTAGTTAAATCCACAATGTAATGTCTAGTTTAAGCTTGTACCTTGCTTAGCATCACACTATGAATGCTTGCCTTTTTGCTGCGATAATGGGGAAGGCAAAGTGATATCACACTTGTTATACACAAAACACGGCCCCTCTAATTTTTAAATGAACTTTCCTTCACAACCTCCCATGTGATAAACCTTTTAAAATTTACTTTAGTTCTTCTGTATACTAAACTCTAACAGTGTTTGCTGATCCAGTGCAAGATCAAACACAAAGTACTCTGATCAGAGGCGTGTCAAAATATTAAAGAACACAGTGACAGCTTGTACCGCTTTATCAGTTAAAACCACATTATACATCAACTACAACCTGTCTGGCTTGCGCATTTGATTAAATTTCCTATTCAGCAGTGACTCATTCGTATTCCATGCTTGTCTGAATGACAAATTGAACATTGTGTTGTACTGCTACAAGATGTGTTAATAAACAGTGCTGGAAAGACTTGATCTGAAAGGTGCCGCACCAATGCTGCTGCTAGAATAGAGGTTGATCTCAAAGCTGCAAAGCACTGCTAGCTGTTTTCGAGCCAGCGGCTCGCACCTACAACCAGAAACCTTCTCAAAAGGTTGGCAGAAGTGGTCTGACTGTACAGGAGAGCGGAAGAGTGCACACAATACGTTTCTTCATTGCAATGTTGCTAGTGCAAGCATGCTGACCTGCCGAGGCCATCCTCCGTTCCTCCTAGCTGTTAATGGCTGCAGAGTAAAGCCCCACTGCTCCCTTTTCCCGCTCCCTACAAGGAACAAAATGCCAAGCTTCATAGTAGACTGGAGTTGGAAAAATTAATTCTCTTTCTCCATCAGACAGAAAGATGGAGCATGCATACGTCACCTATTTTCTCTGTGATTTCCTTACGTTTCAAAGAAAAAAAAAATCCCTAAAATAAGGCAGCTTCTTAGTGCCAGTGGAATCAGTGAAAGATACTCTGCCTGTTCTATCTGCTATGCTATGTGGTTTTGCAACTATGTCACCTTATTCACAGTCACTAACTGCACATATAAAGCAAACTCGTTTTTCTTAAAAAGTGTTTATGTAAGTATCTACATGATAAGTAGTTTTACTCTTTATTTCATTTATATTTGAAAATAATTTTGCTGAATAAAGCCTTGATTTTGCTTATGAAAAACAATAATACTCTTAAGGTATTTTTTGTGTGCTTGGTGATTGCTCAATCACGGCATTAAATCTAGTTGCCTTCTTTCCAATGTAAAATCTTTCACTTTAACAGGATTTATTTGAACAATGAATTAGTTATTTTTGGATATATATAGAATAAATGAGATTTAGGACTTCAGTAAAACAGCAACTATATTTTCATCATACTTTCTGATTATTTTAGCTGCTGCAAGGCATAAGATGCTGAAATAGCAAAAGATGTCCTCTTTATACTTACTGGTCTGCTCATTTATCTTTTTTTTTAAAAAAAACTGCATAACTCTAGAGGCTAGCAAACTGATCAGTGAAAGAGTGAAGGTACACACATCACACTGACAACAACAAAGAATGCAGAAGCACTGTTAGCTGCAGAGATGACAGGTTGCTGGAGACAAGGCAGAAAGCAAAAAGCTGTAGCTGCAAGCCTGCTCTCTACTGGTCAGACAGAGATGGGGCAGTGCTGCTCCCAGAGCAATGCATGGATGCAAGCACTTGGCAAAAGTCATGGCGATGTTAGTGCGTTATATTGCAGTTGTCTTCGGAGGGGGAGAGAAAGTGACCCCAAGTCTCAAAACCCTCAAATTCTGACTTTTAAATTTGAGTCTTAAGTACTGAAAACCCACAAACTGAACAAAACATTTCAGGGGGGAAAAAAAAAAAGGAAACAAAGAAAAGGATGTTAGTATGTCTCATCCAGATCTGTGGGTTTTGTGAATTCTAGAATATGGTATTGGCCTATTACCTGCCTTAATTTAATATCTAGAGGTAAAGAGGATGATAAAAAGTGTTTGCCATGAACCTACGGGCATTACTGTTAAATCATGCCAAAATAAAATAATCATTAAATATCATGAGATTTGGTATTTCTATTTAACAAAGATTTTGAAGTAATTGAGTGCCCCTTTTGCCAAACTATTAACAAAAGGGAAGATTTCATTCGTTTAAGTCCTGGCCACCTGACGGAGTCAGTGCGGACGGAGAGGAATCACGGCCAATTTCCATCATCCTCTTGGGGTTCCAGAACAGAGTGCGGAAACCAGGAGAATAAGGTACCTGCTATGTGGACTGCTGACAGAGGGTCCAGGCTGTGAGAGACTACATTTGCCCCGTGGCTGTTTGCAATGAACAGGGGGTAAAGAAAGAAGAATGTTCAGTCCAGGCAAATAAAGACAAGCTACTGATGAAACTAAATTAAAAGTGCAGCAAAGGAAACATAAAAAAAAATAAAATCAATGAAGTGACCAATACTCATGAACCAAGGAAACTGGCTTTTCTTTGCACCTAGCTGAGTACAGAAATGACTGGAACATACACAGTGAACTTGAAAATAACAGTTTAGTCATTACGTTTATGAATGGTAGCTCTGGATTTAAAAAATTCACTAGAAATTTAGCTTAAATAATTTGTAATATGAAATGGAAAAAAATTTTTGAGTAGAATAAGGCAAATAGAGACATTTCAAAAAGAAAATGCAGCAAAATTAATATTCTCAAGAAAAAAGATCCAAGGGCCTCCTTTGACGAGTCTAGCCTCTTCTCCATCCCCATCCCCCTCACAGTTTTGAAGGCCAAATAACTGTAGGTGCATTCCCGCACGCACAACTATTTGCTGGAACTAATTTTCAGTTAGATGGTTATAGTTCTCACTGTATTTTTGGTATTAGTATTTCTTTATTCAGCATCAGTATATTTGGCACTGAATTTCGAAACAATATCACTTCAGCCTCCAAAATTGTGGATGCAAAACCCAGAAGTTTGAAAACCAGACCCCAAGGAATTGTACAACTTGGCTACACATTAGGGACAAAAATGAAAAAAAGTATTCACATACATAAACACTAACAAATTAGAGATAGACAAATGCTTATTAAAATGTTAAGATGAAAACTATTATAATTCTACATACTCTTTAGACAAAGATTTTATGGTAAAATACTTCTCCATTTCCTGTAATGGTCAGGCATCCTCCAGTTACATCTGTGATATCAGAGCTTTTATTAGTTATTTAAATTTAAAAGATAATAGCATTGACCTCTGAAATAAAATGTTATGGTTTATATTCTTTCTTCTTTTGAAAAGCCAGTATTCCTTTACATTCTTATACTAGTATCTAAATGGAAACTAGTGAATGTAAAAAAAAAATTAAAAAAAAAAATCAATTTTAAGAGCAATAAAATTTATCAAGACAGAACTCAGAAACTTTACAAAAAGTGCAAATGAAAAAAATCACACCCAAAACCAACCTGATTGTTTTAAGAACTAAAGAAAAAAGCAAAGTAATCAACCAACAGAATTGCAGAAAAAGACAAAATAATTGCAGTTCCATTTTGGGCTCAGAGTATGGAAGTGTTAAGTACTAGGCATGTATTGCTATATTTCTTGAATTTTGTGCCAGCGATGTAAATAGACAACTCCAGAGCTGCCATCATAGCCATTGATTAGGTCCTGTACAACTAGGTGTTTTGAATGTTTTATGCCCTTCAGCTCTACTTAGCCATTCATCCAAAATCTCAGTAAGACCATCTGTAAACTTCACCAGAAATGACAAAAAGGCTTATTGAGATTCTTGATGAAGCAGCTCTGAAGAGAAAGTCAAACAGAAATGGAGGACTGATTATACCAGACAAGACCAGACTTTGGGGTGCTGCCATCACTAGAGCAAAATACAAGAGACACGACATGCCATACCATGATAAACCTACCACACTGACAGCCCTGGTTTTAGATAGTATCTACCACTTCGGGTTTCATGCAGGATGGGATATGCAGCAGGACTGGGGAAAGCAGCTGTGTTTTGTTCTTGGTTTATGCCATTTCCTTTCCTGTCAAGTGAGAAGGGGGACTTTCCAGCTGGCTAGAGCTATTGTAGAAATCTAGAGCTCCCACCCAGGAGGTGGCAGAAAGTTTATGACATGAAATTACCGTTCTCTGTCTGCTTGGAGTGCTTCTTCCAGATACAGGACTCACTGATCCTGATGTGTCTAATTCATCAGCAGAGGACCATGAGGACAATTCCTAAAGTTCAGAAGGAATGGAGCTCAGAAACACAGCAACTAGCTGTTCAGGTAACGAAACTAAAAAAAAAAATCCCCGAGAGAAATCCCAGCAGAGTTGTTTCCAAAGCAAATAAAACAAAGCAGTTAGATTTTGTTGCCATATTTTATAAGACTAAGGCATTACATGTTTTCTCTGTCAGCCCTAAAGGAAAAGAAAAGCTAACAGGTAGATAAAACTTCATTGCTTTAGGTGACACGTTTTCTGCCAAAGTCAATACAGGGGAAAAATCAGTTGCTCTTTATTGGCCTTTAATTACAAAAAGAGGTTGGTCCCACCATGATTTTACTTAAACAGGCAGAATTCACTAGAAGGAGGGAAGAGCTGAGTTCTCATGCCTTCTGTACACTACTAATCCAAGACTTCAAAAAAAAGTTAACTAAAGAAGAACCTTGAAATCTGCCACTGTTGGTGAAGATGTGTGTATAACTCCCTCTCAAATACGCTGAGACACATGATGATTTGAAAAGATTTCGAGTACAGCTCAAAGCTCAGAAGGCACTATGAGAGATTCGTTAGCCTATTACAGAATTTCTTTTATGCTTTTTTTTCCCCTCTTCGACAGAGTGAGCATTATCTTCCTTTCCAGTGACAACTGACACACTATAATTCTCAGTATTGCAACTAGAATAATTACCTCATATACTTTGTCAGTTGACTGAATCAATAAAGGCAGGATAAACAAAACTAGATGTTCAATTATTACTGCTACACCAAATAGAAAAAAAATTACTGTATTGAAAAAACCCACCATATTACAAAAGAGATGTTTACATTATGAAGTGTAAGATTACTTTATGATATTCAAGACTACATGTGTGCCATCTTGCTAAATATTGCAAATAACAGAAACAGTGCAGCCAATGGCACCGATCAGAGAAAGACACTCAAAATAGTGGGAAACATGCCCAACAAACAGCAAGGAATAAAAAGACATGACTTACCAGTTGATGACTTGAAATACCTAGAATTCTCTCTAGGTCTTTAATATGACATGTGACCTCTTTTAAGAGGAGCTTCAGTCTATTTCCAATGACATGCACCTTTTCTTTGGCTTCAAGACAGTCCTTGCCTTCAGCATTGACTAGCAATTGGCAAGACATATCTTGCAGTGATGCCACCTTCAACTGAGACTCCAGCAGTTCACGTCTGATTTGCTGTTGCCAAGGCAAGCATCAGATATTTTTAATGGAAGTTAAAAAAAAAAAAAGGAAAAAAGCTAGAACTCACAAAACTGGAAATTAATGAAACGGAAAGAAAAGCGAAGCAATAAAAAATTCTAATCTGACAGGAAGATCCACAGCAGTGTAGTGGTTGTCTGACATTTTAAATCGCGAGTTATGCTAATCACGGAAGTGAATAGTGTTCCCTCCCAAAGTAAAGTTAGTTACTGACATTGGTCCCACAGCTGTGTGTTACCATATAACGTAGAATGCTAACCCTCAAGAGAACGACAAATTTGATTAGCTGTTTTTCTGATGATGCGTTTAGGGAGAGAACGGGGTGATTATAGCCCTACCATCAGAAGTCTGTGATGATCCTGCAATGTTTCCGAGTCCAGGTTTGTATTGATAGGCACAATCTCATTTTTTCTTCTGTCAATATTCTCTAACCAAAGCAGCAAACCATGGCTCATTTCATGGAAATCCTGCAAGTGATGAGTGATGATTTTAATAGTGTAGCAGAAAATTCCAGTCAAATTCAGGGTTTTAGTTTATCCTATGATGGGTCCTACTGGCTAAATAACATAATTTACAAGGAAGTGTAGAATAGTATATTAGAGTACTATTCCAAAGATGACAAATTTAGAAAACCTTGGGGTGGAACAAGCTTCAGATACTACAGGTGTATCTTTCAGGCAAGATCCATCCAAGATTGGATAATGAGCACACCAGATAATGATCTGGTTTTATATTTTTGATATGTGGGATGCTGACAACTTAAAATAAGCACAATACAGACCTGGCACTGCATTAATGCATCCTGCAATGAGCAGCGCCACTCTTCAATCCTACTGCACACATGGTCCCAGCGCACGTTCATCTGAGACAGGCGCTCTTGAAGCTTCTTGCTTTCTTCACTATTGGACTGAGTGAACTCTGAACTGCACAGATTGATGGATAAGATGATTGCTTTGCGGTTATCAATTGCTTTCTGCAGCTCCTTGATGATAAGACAAAGTGAGACGAGGGAAGAAAGAATGGAAATTGGTCAAATGTGACTTTCAGGAGAACCAAGTAGAGAAGGCACGACAAGAATGCAATGATTTGCCATCAGCAACTGCAGAAAGGTACCCTACTGTAAGAGTCTCTTTACTCCGGATATGAGATTTTTGTGCTCACTCTGGGATTCTGCAGATCTTCACTCTTTAACATCTACTAAAATTTTACTGTGAGCATAAACTAGAACAAGCCATTTAAACTTGTAAATTCTTAAAAGCCTGAAGTCATAGTTGAATTTTAAAGATCTGGCTCATGTTTCAGATATTTTAAAGACAGAGCAGGCCCAACAAAATTTGGAGAGATGTAGGACAATTGTATTTAGGTCACAATAAAACTTCTGTCCTCACTTCTCAGTTTTGCTGATAAACACAAAAACCAACATGTTTTCAAGTGGAAACTGCTGTCAACAGTATTTTAAAATAAAAGCTTTTACTGAGGAAAAAGAAAACACACAAAGAGTACAAACAGCTTACTCCAATTTTAAGAAGCAGGACATGTATAAAAACTCTGATTTGTTTACATTGGAAGCCACAAAAGAAACCCCACCTCTTTTGGTTTGGAGGGCACTAATGGGCTTTCCAAGAGTGGGTGAGATAAGAAAAGGATTCTTACGAAATGCCCCTTTTTCCACCTACTTTACAGCATTTACTTAAAAGCCCCATGTCACAGTGACCTTTGTAGTACTTATGGCAGCTATATTTGGACTCCAGTGAAGATCAGCATTAATATGCTTTAGATGGATCACTGTTGGAAACAGTCTTTACTATCTGTCCACCTCATCCCTAGCATGGAGTACAGTGCATTTAGACATTGGCTCCCACATTTTTGTGCCCAAGCTTATAAGATGCTAGTAACTGACAGCGAACTTATGGACCATCACGTCTGCAGATCTTTATAGCCGTAAAATATCCAAGAGAGATGACAAAGGCAGCATTCAGATCCTGATGCTTCTGAGATGACAGAAGAAGAAACAGCAGTGTTGCAAAGCAACACCAAATTTTTCCTGTGCTGTACTGGTGACAGCAGTGGGTAGACTACAACCCCTTTGCGCATTCTCTCCTTCCTTCTAGCAAAGTAATATATCCCAGTGAAGCATCTCTTATAAAGTAGCTATTTTGTTACCTGTTTGACTAGAAAAGATATAACTTAGCCTTTTTTTTTTCCTTTCATCAGCTTGCCTGACTTCAGGAATTATTTGTACATACTGGAATTACAGAATGGCCATAGAATTATTATTTCAAAAATTCATTAGAATTATATAGTAAATGCCAGTGGTACATTTTTCTGCCAAAAGGTGATCCATAAAACCACTTTCCCAATTACTTCATTTGTCAGCAGTAGCCTGCTATGTGCAGAATGGAGCAAACTTGCTGCAACTACTGGCAAACTCTTTAACATCTCTGTTGCACTTGAGTCTGTTTACAAGGTAACTCATGGAAAAGAGAAATAAAACTCACTTTCAGTTTTTTAATTCTGAGCTCAATTGTTTGTATATCAGTACTGAGATCAAGGTGGTGGAGCTTCTCCAGTTCCTGTTCAGTTTCTCCCAACCAAGACCAAATACTATTAAGGTCAGAGTTAAACTGCTGCCATTGCTGAAGGTTCTGCTTCATCCTCAGCTCCTTGCTTAGAGCCTGAGCCTGGATTAATTCCCATCGGTCAATTACACCTGGAATGATAAACACCAAATTCAACAAAAGCAAAAAAACAGTAGCCAAACACACAATTGCATCAGGTGAACCCCACGCAGGACAAAAAAATGCTCCACAGAAACCAAAAAACTCCAACCCATGAAACACCACACTGAAAATTAAGTTAGAGTGAAGAACATGATGTTGGAGAGAAAGAATGAAGAATCTGGATGATTCCAGGCAGCAGGCAATTTTACCACTTTCTAATGTCAGACTTCTATGAACGGAAATAAGTTGATACATACAGGTCTCTAGAACAGGTTATGCTGGTATAAAGATGCCATAAATCAGCATAAATGCAAATTGGATAAGGAATTTGAACATGACTAACTAGCCACGTATTTGTTATTATTTTAATTGGTATTTGTACCTATCACAATTTAATACTCACACCTCACCACATTTGCCTAAGCTACTGCAGATAGATTGCATAAATACCTGTGCGAAAAAGAAATAATTTGGGGACTATTTCTTCTTGTTAGTTATCCTGAAATACTATGGCAAAAGGACAAGTTGTATCATTCCATCAACTTAAAATTAAAAAAAAAAAAAATAATCAAAATAAAATAGACTGCATGGGCAGCATATCTTGCCAAGCTAAGAATGGAGACATTGCCTTTATAGTCTCTGGAACAAATCCATGTTTTTGCAATGCAATACCTCCTGTTCTACAGGTGATGCTTAAAATCAGCCAGGTGAATACTTCTACCAGGTGAATATAGATTTCTGCACTGTAGACAGATAACATTAGAAGTGAAACCTAATATTAGAAGAAATGAATACTGACGTACATGTTTTGTACAGCAAAATAAGCAATCTTTTTTCACCAGAAAACATTCAACAAAAACGCATTGCAGGAACTTTCCGAAAGGCTTAGGGTTATGTCTCATGATATGAAGGGGTTCTTAAAATGCACTTGTATGCCTCATCTCTCTACAAGGCATATACAAGGAACACTTACTATTCCTTACTATTCGTATTCCATGTTAAACAGAATATGGTAACAGACAGTCATTGAAGTATGTGTGTCATTAAATAACACCAAGTGTTTACTCAGAAAAACTTTGCATGTTTGCTACTTTTCATAATTGCTTTCCATCAAAGAACTAAATGTTACTTACCGGCTGTTTGTGTTTCAGTACTGTTCAGGTTAATAAGCCCAGATAATTTTTCTTCTTCCTCCTTCAGTTTATATCCAAGCCTTTTTACTGAGTCTATGCTTCCACTGCACTCACCTAGTAGCTTCATCTGTGTTAAAAAAAAAAAAAAAATAAATCAATATGCACTGTACAGGGCTAATTGCATGGAAAACATAAATTACAATGCAACTTCCAAAATTTTCCAAAAGTAGGTCTAAATGTGAAGATTGAAATCTATTACTTTAACAATCTGTCCTGATACTATCAAAGAAATGTATATGGAGATGATAAAGACTTAAAGTATAAATTCAGATTAAATAGAAATAACTCAGTGCTACTGTGACAAATTGTGCTGGATGACTTTAGGTGTCACCTCTTCTAAATGTTAAGACACTATGGCAAAGACACTAGAAGATGTGATAAAGAAAATAAACTTAAGTGTGGAAATATTACTGTGCATCCAAGCAGCTAATCTTTCAACTCTGTCAGTAATACAATTATTTGAATGATTTAGAGAGAGATTTTTCTTCCAGAAAACCTCTCTGTGAAAGCTTTTTAATCACGGATTCCATATACACAACCTTGCTTACACGAATTATAAACACGCATCATCAGCAAAATGAATACTGTGCATGAAGCTGCAAACTCCGCTTTTGTAAGCAGAGGAATGTTAAACAAGGATATCATCATTAGATGGATAAAAACACATGTGAGAAAGTACTTTTGGACATCTGCAAAAATATAATAGGAAAATAAATTCCTTAGAGTCATGTTCCCCTAATCTTATGCTATTGTAAACACACTAATAACATAAACAACAACAGCATGTGGTGAAGGGTAACAACTGGATGCGTGAGGAAGTCTGAGAAGCAGTAATATCTAATTGCTTTTTTGAAACAGCTATACGTCTTTCAATAGCAAAACTAAGCTTGGAGGGCTTATTCGACTTGTGCTCCAAAATACACGCACATATCCTTTGTAACTGGAATCCAGCTCTGGTCCTGTAGGTGTTTTGCTGCGGATGAAATTTTCTGTTTGCTGTATCTGGAAACGACTGGTGTCTAAGGCCTTGTCCAGCTGTCGGATATGTGCTTCCAGGGCACCAGGTTCTCCTGTATCAAAACCAAAAAAAGTGACTGTTACCCAAGTTTTACCAAAGTTTTTTTATTTTTTAATTTTTTACCCAGGCAGAATAAATACCAGGAATACTATCTAGATTAGACAGTATAGTAAAAACGTGGCTGTAGCAGTAAGAGTGGTACAATGTCAAAGCGAACGGATAACCAGTTACATTAAAGGGTGTTAGCGACCTTCAGAGGACAGATGACTATACCAATGAACATGCTTGCCATAAGCATACTATCAAAGAGTCAGCAGTTTAAAGCAGGCTTGCAAACTATTTTGAAGTGACTTTTTCCCTCAGAGAATTCCTCACCTCTCTGAAGGGAAAAGTTCTTGGCAAAGTGTGCTCTAACCTCACTGATTTTGGAGAACGCCTTTCTCCCTTTCACAAACACTCTCAAATAAAGTCTTGTATGTAAAACTCCTCATCCAAATCCATGCTAAAATTAAATTTCTCCTTATTTCCCTTTTTATTAAATCTCTCCACTAAATAACAGTGGATTTTTGATCTACATGAAAGGATCCTATTTGTCTACAATCTTGAGGACTAAAAGCTGTAGGTAAATGCTAAGCAACACTGTTATAATTATATTCTCAAGGTCCATAGATGACTGGAATTCTTGAAGGCCCACAGCAGTGGTCCATGGCTGATTTAGGCAGCCACACTAAGCAGCAAAATTTATAGTATTTTTCCAGTTAGGTGTTTGACAAAAATAATGCTTATAATATCTGTAAGATGGTATTGCTCATCCAAGCAGTTTGGAACTCATACCAATGTTTTTGAAGCACGACTAACTTGCATTTTACTTACAGAGGTCAGCTGAATTCTGTGAGATGAATTAACTACAGCCAGTTCTAATCTGAAGCAGGCTACAGCCTTAAGGACCACATGAGAACCTTCTTATCCGTATTCTATCACTGTGCCTGATTTCCATCTGTTTACAAAGACAGTTTGAATTTGTTCATAAACACACAATTAAAAACATGCATAGAGAAGGGGAGCCTTCTGTCCATCTAATTACAGAAAATGGAGCCTCTTCGATGGTTAATCATTTTTCATACAAAACACTGCCTCACCCCAAATGGACAAAGTGCTCAATATTGCTTTTTCCTCACTACTTTCAAAATTTTCCACAGGTCAGAACACTACATGTGTTTTCCTATATGTACTGCGAATAATTATACTCTTAAATCATAATATTATTTCACTAGTTTGGGGAAAAAATAAAAATGGACAGTGAACATTAGGTCTGTGTCACAGATGCTAAGATTTTAAATGTTTGCTATTTCAAATTTTCAATGATGTCATTATTTCAAAAGAGGAAAACTGAAATAATGAGAGAAGGTATTTGCAAATGCATCTAGTTCCTCCGAAGGAGTCATCTAAAATGTGAAACAGTAGGTTTAATCTTGTGTAAAAATGCAATGTGAAAAAAAAAATTATCTTCTAAGACTAAGATAAAGACATTGGACTACGGTACCTCACCTTGGCATTGTTAACACATGAAAAAACAACTAACCTAAAAGTTTATATCTAAGTAATAATCCAGGCTGTGGCTGTGTTAAAAAAATGAGTGCAAAACCAAACAATTAGGTTTTGATCTGTATCTGTTCCTTCTGCCTTAATCTTTGTAGAAACCACTCTTCCCTCAGAGACATAACAAAGCATTAAGTCCTGTTGAGGGACTCCAGAGAATAAAGACCAATTAAAGTAACCTATTGATCAGTTTAGGCTAATTAGCCAAGGTGGGAGGGCCAATACTTCAAACATCATTGTTTCTTTCATGCACCTAATAATACCTTTAAGCACAGTAGTAAAGCAGGATACTTCTATATTAACATGCCAATGATGCCATGTAAGAAATATTATCTTGTCAGTTGTGAAAAGTATAGCAGATGCTAAAAGAAGAGAAAGAAGTTACGCTTGTGCACCGTGGTATTTGCATCTGGCTATGCTTAGTCTTTTTTGATGCCTACCAGAGGTATTTTTGAGTGCGTTTTCTGTGAGTGTTACATAGGCCTCAAGAGTTTCAGGGATCTCTACATCTGAAAAAATAAAAGCACAGTCTAAATCGACAGCTTAGCAATGGCTGTCTCCTTACAGCAGGAGTCCTTTTCATGGGATGGAATATACAAACTGTTCCAATAGCAAACATCCTTTCTGGAGAAAGAAAAAAAGATGAAGACTGAAATACAGGAAGCCTGCTATGAAGTCTCTGAATACCCAGGCAAACCTGACTCTTTTCAGAGCATTGGCCTGGAAAGCAAAAGACAGCCACAAGATCAGGGTATAATATACCAATACATCTTCCCCCACACCTGGCTGCATTTTGGCACTTACTCATTAAAATTTATTACACAGAACACACACGCTTAGAAACAATTTCCAACTTCACTGGAGGGCAAGACGGAAGATTGCACCTCAGGCTAAACACTCAGTTGCTGGAGTCTTGCCTGGGTAAGGACTGAGTTAGGATTTACTTCACTTGATGATTTTGTCTGCATATCTCTCCCACAGCATTTCTTCATCCGTTTGTTCTGCACTTCTTGCCACATCCAGTATTGTTTCTTCTAGTCAGAATAACTTATGACGCATTGCTGTTACAGATGACATCTCCCATCTGGCAGGCCACAAGCACAGAGACACAGCCAATTCCCTGTCATATCATACACGCCTTCACGATTTTCCAAGGCTGTAGTCATCTAGGAATCTCCATCACTGTGTTTAAGGCCAGAAGGCCACTGGAATCACTTAGGGAAAGCTATTTAAAATCTTCAGGGGCTATTTAAAATACTTTTCCATGAGCATCTTGGCCAAGCAATCACACATGTAACATTTGCTTCTTTTTACTTGCAGAGAACAGGACACCCTATTTGCCACCATACCTGCTATACCAGCTGCTCCTCTCAGGTAGAAGTCCTTCTCTTGTCCTCCATCTTCTTCCTCAGAGTTCACTGCCCGTGAAACGGCTGTCTCCAGGTCTCTGCTAAGGTCGTAGTCATGATCCCACTCCAAGGGAATGGAGTCCACGCTCGCAGGAGTATCTCGCCCTGATCGCTCACTTCTCACCGGCTGGGAAAGAGGCAGCGAAAGGTTGGAAGAGGGGTGCGGGGAGAGAACGCTGTCCGCAGATTTGTCATGCCAGTGTATGTCAGAGAGATCTGCTGATTCATCCAGATCCACCTCTCTGTCAGAGAGGTCATGTTCGTCATCTGTCAGCTAGAAGCATAATGCAAACAGAACCGATCAATGAAGCATGCAGAAGCACTGCATGGACAGCCTGGGTCAGTGAAATCAAGCAGCATTAGGCAACAGTCATACTGATGGGGTTTCCCTTTTGCACTCACTTGCACTTCCCCTTCATTATTTTACAGTGCACTCAAAACCCAGAGAAACAAAAAAATTTGTAATGCCAGCTCCTTTTCATTACTTAAGGCACCACAGTGTCTCACATCAAGCAAATGTCTCCAGACCTTTTACCGATGCCACTGCAATGCAAACACCAAGTTAAAGAAAACTCTGGAGTCAAGTCACAGGAAGCGTAAGTGAACGTCTCTCCTTACATTCTTTCATATTTTGAAAACCCTGGGTTCTGTTCTTTTCATTCAGTAGGACTTGAGCTACCAAAAATCATTTTGCTCTCACTTATTCAGCTGTCTGTTTAGTTGTGGAGACAAATTTCCTTCTCTTCTGATGAGGAGAATCATTACATCATTGTTTTCTAAACAAGACAGAACTCACTCAGCTGCCAATTAAACTATCTGACAGAGCAGGGAGATGTTCTTATTACCACACTGCTATCTCCATTAATAAAGTTTTATAAATCTCCAGTTTGCATGAATTTTCATGATGATTTGCAAAAATTCCAGATCTGGTGAGTTTGCTCTCTGAACAGGACATAAATAGCATACAATGAAGGGAGGCAGAAGCTGTGACAAAATTAAATCACAGGATTTTTGGAGAGTTACAGAAGTTTCATGTCAGTTCATTTCAACATCTTTCTCTCTCCTCATTCTCTCCCTTGTAAAATGGCAACAAACCAAACAAATACACAGATATGTAAGTATACACACAGGAAGGCGGATGAGTTTCTTGTGATAGCGTTCCACGCGTCCAAAGACCTCTTGACAGTAACGACGCAGCTCATCTAGTTCTTCTTCAATGACAGCTGCATCCATGGGCTCACTTTTCTCAATGAGTTGCTCACCCTGCACAATTATCTGCTCAATTTTGTTGTTGTTCAGAGAAATTTCTTGCTGGAAAGCCTGCATAAAAGAAAAGCCCATGCTTTTTCAGCGAAATTAACATTACCACAACTTACATTATTAAGGATGCAAGTGTCTTAGAGTTTTTCAGCAAGAATGGTGTGGGTAACAAACAGGAATCATTCCAAACATTCTGGTATGAACAACAACGAGCAATTAAATTTAGCATTCCATAGTCTTTCTAGCCAAAAACAGTGATACTTCATGGTTTACCATCTCATTCCTCACTTGTTGTGTTTGGAAAGAAAGCTCTTTTCGGAACAGGCCATGCCCGTGACCAAATGTCTAGAATGAACACTGATGCTAAAGCTAACAAACTGGACACTCAGTCGGCAAGGAACGCAGTGGCGGCAATGGTAAGTTCAGTGGCAGCGAGACCCGTCAGGAGCTGGCAGCTCTCGCGAGCGAGGCTGACGTGGCTTGGGGATCGCCAGGAGCAGTCGAGGGAGATTTAAACGTCCCTCAGGGAGTGCTTGTGGCCAGGCCATGGTGCGTCAGTCAGGGTGCAGCACAGCAATTTGCGACGGAGGGTGTGCAGGAAGGGCCCTGCAATCTGCTTGCAGGCCCTCAGTCCAGGGAAGTGCTCTAGGTCTCTGCCATAATGATGGGCACTCGCCTCAGAGCCAAAGCCAGAGTTCCCGCAGAGAAAGCCCTTGTGATGTCTGACGCTTACACCCAGCTGGAAATGGTAAGGAAAGAGGCTTCAGTTCACGTGGTAGGCTGCAGTGAGTGCCCATACCCTTCTGGAGCAAAGGTAAGTCCCTGCACAAGACGTGTGCTGGTTGAGGATCTGTTATGTCAGGTGGTAGGAAACACCGTGTAGTATTATCGGAGCAGAGATGGAGACAGATAAGTGGTTTCAGAACCATGCTCCTGTAGTGGACACCACTGAGAATGACCCACAAAACCAGGACTCCGATCCAGCCTCCACCCTCCAGCATCACAACCAAAATCAGACACGAAGTTTTAACAACTATAGACACTCAGAAGCATCGTCTGCAAGGACAAACTATACCAGAGCACACAGCAGATGCCGTAAAAAGAAATGATGAGTGCTCGTGGTGGGTGACTCTACTAAGAGGCACTGAGGCGCCCATCTGCCAGCCTGGCAGGGAGGCATGTGAGGTATGCTGCCTTCCAGGAGCCAAGGTCCAAGATGTCGCTGAAAGGGTGCCACAGCTTGTAAAGAACACTGACTACTATCCTATCCACTGTTAAATCTTTCATGTATGCACAAATGACACCACAAGCCAGAACCTGGGCAGAATTAAGGAAGACTTCAAAGCCCTGTGGGTGCAAGCAAAAGGCACTGGTGCCCATGTTACCTTCTCCTCCATTTTACCAGTTGGAGGAAAGGGGGCAGCCAGAAACAGACGCATAATACAAATCAGCTCCTGGCTTTGTGGCTGGTGCTGTCGTGAGGGTTTTGGGTTTTGTGACAACAGGACATTCTTCAATTACTATAACCTGTTAGGGAGGGATGGGACCCACCTGCCTAGAAGAGGCAAGAGAATCTTTGGCAGAAGGCTGGCCGACTTGGCGTGGCAGGCTTTAAACTGACAGACTCTGGGGGTGGGGTCCAAAGTCACAATGCTCAAGCCATTACAACCAACTGGGGAATAAGCCAGGCCAACCACAGCAGTGACAAATGTTCCTTAACTGCCTCCCAAGTTGAGAAAGAGAAGGCCAACCACCTTAAGGGTGGGTATGGCTATGGTGGATCCTCTTTCACCTCTCTAGGGAAACTGGCACGCTTGATTACCTCTCTGAAATGCCTCTAGACCTATGCACACAGCATAGGGAATAAACAGGAAGAACTAGAGATTTGTGTGTGGTCGCAGGGCCACGATCTCATTGCAGTTACAGAGATATGGTGGGACAGCTAGCAACACTGGAATGCTGTCATAGATGGCTATGTACTTTTTACGAAAGACAGAAAGATTCTTTATGTGAGAGCAACTGAAATGTATCAAGCTCTGCCTAGGGATGGATGAAAACCAACTTGAGAGCTTATGGGTAAGGATTAAGGGAGATGCTAATATGGTTGACATTGTTGTGGGTGTTTACTACGGGCCACCTGACCAGGAAGAGGAAGTCAGTGAGGCCTTCTACAGGCAGCTGACAGTAGCCTTACGATCACAAGCCCTGGTTCTCAAGGGGGTCTTCAACCACCCTGATAGCTGCTGGAAAGAGAACACAGCTAGGCACACACAGTTCCTACAGGACACTGTTGATAACATTGTGACACAGGTAGTGGAGGACCCTAAGAGGGGAGGTGTGCTGCTGGACCTTGTAATGACAAATAAAGGAGGACTGGTTGAGGATGCGAAGACTGGGGGCAGCCTTGGCTGCAGTGACCATGAGATGGTGGACTTCAGGATCCTGCATGGAGGAAGCAGGGCAATAAATAGGATCACAGCCTTGGACTTCAAAAGAGCTAACTTTGGCCTCTTCAAGGGCCTACTTGGAGTAATCCCGTGGGTTAGGGCTCTAGAAGGTAGGGAGGGTCCAAGAGAGCTGGTCACTATTCAAACATCACTTCCCTCCATGCTCAAGATTGGTGCATCCCCATGAGGAAGAAATATAGCAAAGGATGCAGAAGACCTTCATGGATGAGGAAGGAGCTTCTAGTGAAACTTGAATGGAAGAGAAAGGTCTACATAATGTGGAAAGAGGGATAAGCCACTTGTGAGGAATACAGGAATGTTGTCAGAGCATACAGGGAAGCAATGAGGCAGGCAAAGGTCCATCTGGAATTAAATCCGGCAAGCAATGTCAAAGACAACAAGAAGGGCTTCTTCAAGTACATCAGTAGCAAATGGAAGACTAGGGAAAATGTGGGGCTGCTGCTGAATGAGGTGGGTGCCCTGGTGACAGAGGACACAGAGAAGGCGGAGTTACTGAATGCCTTCTTAGCTTCAGTCTTCACTGCTAAGGCTGGCCCTCAGGCATCCCAGGCCCTGGAAGCAAGAGAAGAAGCCTGGCGAAATGAAGACCTTCCTGTGCTTGAGGATGTCTGAAACAAATGCTTTGGGGAAATAGTCACTGCATGGCTTCATTCTGGTGCAGAAGTCCTGCCTCTTGCTGTCCTGCAAATTCACTGGGTCAGATCTTTTCGGAGTTCATGGGGAATGTTTTGTGTGTTCCTAAAAGACAGAAATGACCCCGGAATATATGCATGCATCTGAAAATAGCACATTCTGCTTTACAGCGAGTGGTAGCTCCTGTCATGTTCCATCCTCCTTAAACTAGTCGCGAAACAGAGCTGTCAATTACAGGTGAGAAACCTTGACCTATGAAATAATTTGTTACACTTTAATGCATTACTGTTATATTGTGACTAAGTGATAAGATTGCCTCTGAAAAAGATACTGGTTTGTCCAGTTTTATGCGAAACAGTTCCAAGGGACTTTAAATTTCACTCCTGGCAGTTGGTGTTGCAGCACATGGTGCTACTGTGACGGGAAATTGGGGTGTAAGAAAAACTTGTATTGGAGTATATCACTTCAGCTGATCTTCAATGTGCATGAACGCCCTGTGAAGAGAAAGGGACCTGCATGGTAAAATCTGTTAGAATTTCCCAGAGACTCTTAAAGTTACAGCAGAAAGAAAATGTTGCAAGTCAGGGACAGCAGGAGTGGAGACATGGATCTAAGCAGCCATCTAACCATGAGCCAGCAGTGTGCCCTGGCTGCCAAGAAGGCCAATGGGATCCTGGGGTGCATAAAGAAAAGTGTGGCCAGCAGGTCGAGGAAGGTTCTTCTTCCCCTCTACTCTGCCCTAGGGGAGGCCCTTTCTGGAGTACTGTGTCCAGTTCTGGGCTCCCCAGTTCAAGAAAGATGAGGAGCTACTTGAGAGAGTCCAGCAGAGGGCTACAAAGATGATTATGGGACTGGAGAATCTCTCCTATGAGGAAAGGCTGAGGGAGTTGGGCTTGTTTAGCCTGAAGAAGAGAAGGCTGAGAGGGGATCTTATAAATATCTTAAGGGTGGGTGTCAGGAGGATGGGGCCAGAGTCTTTTCAGTGGTGCCCAGCGACAGGACAAGGGGCAACGGGCACAAACTGAAGCATAGGAAGTTCCAGCTGAACATGAGGAAGAACTTCTTCACTTTGAGGGTGATGGAGCACTGGAACAGGTTGCCCAGAGGGGTGGTGGAATCTCCTTTTCTGGAGATACTCAAAACCAGCCTGGACAAGGTCCTGTGCAGCCTGCTGTAGGTGAACCTGCTTTGGCTGGGGGGTTGGACTAGATGATCTCCAGAGGTCCCTTCCAAACCCTACCATTCTGTGACTCTCTGAATTTTGGATAATAGGTCTTTTGATATTTTTCTCTCCAGGTAATGATTTTTCTGAAGCAGAAATGGTTGACAAATGTAGTAATTCTTAGTTGTCAGCAATAACGGAGACTTGACATTAATAATTATGGACATTTCTTGTTTTGATTAGGGAATGGAGACTATCAACCTTGGTTTTTTGAAAATGTTTCACAGCGCTAAGATCTTCCATTCTAGCAGAAAAGTACATATTGAAACCTGACACAGCCCATAACTTCTGAGGCTGAAGTCTCAGATCTCAGGTAAGGGACTGTATCAGGCTGCATTTTTGCGTAACGTTTCTTAAATTCTTTTCCCGCTATGAATGTTCTATCCCTTCTCTCATCCCTCCTCCTGTCACCATTCAGTCATTTGTTACCTTAAGTTGCTTTATCTTTGCTTGGACATCACACTCTGAGAAATGCTCAATGTTGGTCAGCTGCAGATCCATTTCCGTTAACCATACCAGGATGCTATCACGTGCTGTCTCAAACTCCTCACGCTGGCCAATAAAATGCTGGGGGGTGGAAAATGGAGTGACATGAAACGACCAAATAACCCAAAAAAACCCAGCAACAGTGGTTCTCTGAAGAAATGGCTTTCATGTCCTTCAAACCTAACCTAAAACTCTGTACACCTCCTTTCATTACCTACATGCTTTCTAAGGTTCTTTTTTCAGTAACATCATTTACAGCTGCAATTAGTTGACCTATGAAAGTTATCTTCTGTGAAGGTGGTGGCATTTGAGGTCACTATGCATTTCCCTAC